TTTTTATATATTTTTATATTTTTTTTTATATTTTTTATATATTTACTTTGTATTGTCTTAATTATTTTTATTAAGAGAATTGAACTTGGAATTAAAAATTCTGATAATATATACTTTTGCCTTTTCTGTTCCTAATCTATTGAGCATTTTACTGAACTAATTATAAGCCGTATACATATAATATAAGTCCTATTAGGGGGAAATAGAGTAAAACCAGGTACCTCAGTTTCTTCTTGATAAGTGTTATTATCTTTGGCCAACTCGTGTTATTAGTTGTAGATTGCCATCATTATTTGAGATGAACTGTGCCCACGTGCATATTTTTTTTTTAAGAGAAGTCCACAATTTTTGGGCCAAAAAAGATCGATATCGGGGCAACAATTGAGTCATCGTGGACTTTTTCTATATACAGGGTGTAACTAAACAAACGCATATGGACAATACTATCAGATACAGAACAACAATTCAAATCGAAAAGTTCTGAACCATTTTTTTAACTGAGCTTTCTTTTTGTTGTTATATGATGTTAAAGTTAGCTAATCAGCGCCTGTCTCTACACCAGAAAGCAGATTCGCTACTCCGACCCCCGTCGTACCTTCTCTGTTTTCCGTTGTAGACAGGCGCTGATTAGCTAACTTTAACATCATATAACAACAAAAAGAAAGCTCAGTTAAAAAAATGGTTCAGAACTTTTCGATTTGAATTGTTGTTCTGTATCTGATAGTATTGTCCATATGCGTTTGTTTAGTTACACCCAGTAGAGCATCTGTTTCAGTAAATGCAGCATTGCATTCTGTACGTATTAGAGAGTATATCGCACTAGTTTTGATCGTCACTTTGTACGCTGGTGTTTGTTATTTTCTTCGTGTTGAGGCATAACCGGATACCTACACACCTCATATAATGAAAAGAGGAAAAATTATTGACTTTGTCTCTCTACAAAAAGCAGTTGAAAATGGAGACTGCTACTCAGAAAAAAAATCACTAAATAAAACCTTTTTGAGACCCTAAAGTTAAAAAATTAAATAAGAAAGTCCTGCAGCAATGTAAAGCAAGAGGATATCTTTGTTTGTGATCTTTGTTTATAGAATACTGTTTTGTATTGTATTTTGATTAAAATAAATCAAGATTTCGGCACAGTGTTTTACAAACTTTCAAATGGGTACCCGATTTTAACCTACTGGTAGGATAAAACCGGGCATTTTGACTTCTTCAAAAAATCCTGTTATCCTTGGTAACTAAATTTTTTTTTTCAGCAACTAATCTCATTTTCTCATAGTTCAAGGTCCACTAAAGACTACTAACGGTCAGTAGAATTTTTTTTGCTCTCCGATTTTTTGTAAGAAGACAAATCCAAAAAAGTATCCGGTTTTACTCTACTTTCCCCTACTCTTAAAATTATTACATATACAGAAAGAAAATTATATTAGAATATAGAAAAAAAATTATATTTTGATATACATATAAAATATAATGTGTGTGCGTGTGTGTGTATATATATATTAGTGTATATTATATTATTAAATAGCAGGGTTGGGAAGTAACGCGTTACTTGTAACGTTGTTACCGTTACAGTTACTTTTTTCGGTAACTGTAATGCCGGGATTATGATGAACTTAACGTAACGGGACGTGACGGGACGTGACGGGACGTGAAGTAACGTGACGTGAACTTAACGTTTAACATTTCTTGTGAAATTACGATCGCCGTAACGTGCCGTAAGCAGTGTGCATTGAACGCTTGAAAAGCGCAAGCGTTGTTTTTGTTGTCGTTCTCGTTGGTAGTTTTTGGTAGTTCCAAATGAATTCTGCTGTGAAATAACCGTATTCCGAATGCGCAACACAATGTCAAATGTTAACGTCGCGTTCCGTCTAGTCGGGCTGTTCACGTTTCAGCCAATCAACGCTCTCGACTCTTGCGCACGCTGCACTCGAGCTCAAAAATGACATTTGACATTGTGAAAGTCTCTCTCACACCAACGGTTTGTGCTCGTTTCTTCTTCCGCAGTTGAAGATACAAATATCCTGCCAAAATTAAATTGAAAACTTGATAATGCCTCACAGCAGAATTCATTTCGAGAATGACAACAAAAACGAACTTCTACACCACAGCTGTCAAACCACGCAGTGCTTCACGGCACGTTACGCCGATCGTAATTCGACAATTGTACCTCAAGAGTTAAGTTCACGTCACGTTACTTCACGTACGATACTTCACGTTATGTTAAGTTCTGATACTTCACGTCACGTTACATAAAGTCGATCATAATTAGCCGCATATAAAACAAGAGTGTTTTAAGTTTTAAGTCATTTCTCGTCCCGTCGCGTCCCGTTACGTCAAGTTTATCGTAATCCCGGCATTACTTAACGTCCCGTCGCGTACCGTTACGTTAAGTTCATTGTAATCCCGGCATGTGAAATTACGATCGCCGTGACGTGCCGTTACCTAATCTAACCAATAAAGTGTCGTTGATCGACATCTTCTGTTATATTCCTCCACTACAACATGTTCCGAATGCGCAACACAATGCTAAATGCCATCCTTGAGTTCGAGTGCAGCGCGCGCAAGAATCAAAAGCGTTAATTGGCTGAAAGAGTCACGTGAAGAGCCCGACTAGACGGAACGCGACGTCAAAGCTTGACATTGGCAAGCTTTCACGTCGTGTTAAGTTTTGATACTTCACGTCATGTTACGTAAAGTCGATCGTAATGAGTCACATATAAAACAAGAGTGTTTTAGGTTTTACGTCACTTCACGTGTCCCGTTACGTTAAGTTTATTGTAATCCCGGTATGATAACGGCGTTACAAATTTTGTTTGTAACGGAAAAAGTAACTTTGTTACATTTTTCGGTAACGAATTTAACAGTTACTTTTATCGTTACTTTTTTTCGAATTTACTCGATATAATTTTCATACAAAAGAACATATTGATAAGAGTGTTAAAGGATGCAGCATTACATGAAAACTTATTTACTGGAAGCTTATTCTGGTATCTTGTTTCTTTCTACTTTGTAAGATAATGTTTAAAAATTTTTAGTGCTTAATTTGATCTTGTATTAAAAAAAAAATTGTATGTAAAGTTTGTGTTATATATAAAAAAACTAACGGAAATTGTAACGACCCGTTATTTTTTGAGAAACGGTAACGGTAACGAGTTACTTTTTAGAAAAAAGAAGAGTAACGATAACGAGTTACTTTTATAAAGTAACCTTCCCAATCCTGTTAAATAGTATATGTATAAAATGTAATATGTAGAATATATAATGTATATTCTGCATGTGTGTTACATTATGTTTTAAACATGTTTAAAAAACATTTTTTTTAAATTTTGAACATGATTTTTTTTAATGGTGTTTAAAACATATCTAGATATTAAAAACATGTTTTAAACACAAAAAACAAGGTTTTTTTAAACATATTTGTTACCAACCCTGCGTTATAGGTCTTAAACAAACAAATATTTTACAAAAATGCGAGAAACCATTTTAAACTTATTAAAAGTGCAATTCACATCCGCAATAATTTTTTGGAATTATTCTGTGATTTTACTTCGTCACATTTTGATTGTTAAATATGCGGACATGGACATGTATCATTAGTGACATTCATCTTAAATACACACATATATACACACGATGCAATTTCCGGTAATAAGTATATAGAATGTCCCAAAAATCACCGAATGTTTTTTCTAATAATAGTTGCTCTGACCGAATTTAGGGATAATGTTTCATTTGGCGAAAATATCAAGAGTCATCAATAATTTTCGAATTATAAGCGATTGAAAAAGAGAGAAGGCCTTTTCACAAACTAAACTTTCTGAGATCACAAAAGATTGAAAAATTATGAAACAAACTACTTTTTTAGTTAATTTCAAGTACAATTTTGAATAGAATTTTAATTCGAGGCTTGGTAGCAAAGATATTAATATAATGGAAAAAAAATTGGAAATTTAAAAAATGAGGTGACCTCCCAAATTGAAGAAAGAATTTGCTAAAAGGATATATCAGTGATGGCTTTGAACTTAAATATGTAAGATTTCTCCGGAAATTATCTTTTTGTAATAAAAAATAGTTAGACATATTGATAACATTTAAACATCGATTCAATAAAAATTTTAATTCAAAAAACTCTTCCGCTCTTTAATATTTGTGTTATTGATCTTCTTTAATGACTTTAACCGACCAACATATGTTATCTATTTCCGATTAAATACGCAATAAATCAGTCTTAATAGTATCTTTATGAGTGAAGAGATCTTTTTATAAAAGTTATATTTTATATATCAAAAATCATACAGGTATATCTCCATCTTTACCTGTTTATTATCTCTATATGTTATATAAAACATTCAATTAATATGGAGAAAGACGAAACGTTAACGAAAACATCTAAAAGATATAATTTTCTAAATGTCATTTTTTTTAGATTCTTTCTAGATTATTCTATTTCGCTAAAGAATAGATATTTTCTTTTCATAAACCAGTATGTTGAAGAATCGTACAGCTACGTCATATCCGGTATTCGATTTGCAGAATGAGAAGAGAATATTTCGCAATGTATGTACATCTCATTTAAGCATGAGATAATCAATGATTAATCAGAAAAACGGATGCACTATATATAGAATATCTCATTTTAAAATACTCAACTATCTGTAAAATTAAGTGTTATGAAAAAATGTTTAAAAAATAGTTTTAGGGTTTTGAAAGCGACATAACATAGTGACTTCGATTATATATATGTATATGTATATACAGGTTGGGGCATTTATATTGAGACACCTAAATATCTAAAAAATAAAGCAAGATAGAAAAAAATGTTTCAGACAAAAGTTGTTCGGTTCTAAGGGGGACACATGATGAGATGCAATAAAAAGAGGGGGGTTCCATTTAAGAAAACATTGATCACATTGACTTGGCCTTGAAAAGATCATTCAAGGTCAAGTCCATATTTTCATCATGTGTCCCCCTTAGAACCGAACAACTTTTGTCTGAAACATTTCTTTCTATCTTGCTTTATTTTTTAGATATTTAGGTGTCTCAATATAAATGCCCCACCCTGTGTATATATATATTGTATATAGTATCAATAACGATTTTTAATATTATTTTAAACTCAATTTAATTTTTTTAAATAGCAATATTTTTTTAATAGATTAATATTCTATTCTTCAAATATTACAACCTTCATTTAAACATTTTTGACGTTTATTAGTTTGAAAATTATTTATCAAACTCTTCTGTAATCCGCTCTTAACATTACCTAGGATCAATGACGTGGAATCTGATTTTGTGTTTGTGTGTCACAGATAGAGATAAAAGGACCTTGAGGCTCGTCACTTCCTCAGCAATCCCCCTCTACATTGCCTTGTTGAGTGAGACAAAGAGGGATCTGAAAAGAATAGAAACTATCGTTGGAGCCTCATCGCTAAGAGAACAAAAGTGACGTCAATTTTAGATTCTTCTATTATTTTCATCAATTTTCGATTAGTTTTCGATTATTTTAAAAAAAGGATTATATATATACTATATATAATTTTCAATACTTAATATCATATATATATATCATATTTATATTACATTAAATACTTTTGTCTCTATTAGATTGATGGAGGTGATATCAAGTGGCCTGGAAGATCGTTAGATCCATAATTTCAGCAGAATTTAATGGGATTACATTAAAAATGTCATCTATCAAGAGCGGCCAATTACAATTAATGACATAAAAGAACGCATTCGTATTACTATCCCGTGTAATCAACTGTTGAAAATTATTCATTATTTCCATCGCCGAATTCAATTAGTTATTCAAATAAATGATGTTAACTTTAAATATCTTCTGAACAAAACAATATCTATCGTTTGACTTTCGTTTTATTTTGTAACGAAAATGTTGAGAGAGATAATTTATTTATCAGAAAACTCTTTCTAGTTTTCAGCATTATATATTTCGTGATGCTGGGTTTCAAATTAACATTTGATTAAAGCAAATTTTATTTGAAATTAAGTCAAGAATAATGTCATTTATTTCTTAAAGTTCCTTTCGTTTGCGGATAAATCCTTTTTCTCACTTTTTTAATTCTCACATTTATAATTTAAAAATTATTTATGTTTATTTTGCCGAGAAAAAATAATTAAAAAAAAAACCCGTTATTAAAAGATTCTCCGGTCTCTTTTTTGAGAGATATTCTATATCTTCTTTTTTAAATAAGAGTCATGTAGAATAAGATTATATATGTAGAAAAGAATTTCTTACATTATGTCATCATGACGTCGTACAGAATGGTGAAGAGAAACAAATGCGAAACGAGCACGGATCTTTTGCTGAATAAAGAGAAACGTCAAAGCGCCGCGCATACGCAATGCGAAATCTACGCAATCTTCAATGGATTGCCGACCCATTCGCATCCGCTGGCGGGGCTAGAGCTCTTTCATTGAACACATAGCTTGGCCTCTTCCCCTTTCCGTTCATTTCTCATATAACACAGAACATTGCAACAACATTGCGGCAATGTTGCTGTATAGAATATCTGTTCCTTTTTTCATCTTTTTCGCCCTATCTTTTTTTGACAATTTTTCCGTTTTTAGACGCGATTTGTGCAGCTGGTTCGTTATTACTCAAAAGGATCGAGAATTCTGGTATTTATTCGCTTCGTAAATTGCTATTAACGTATTTATCAAGGGAGATATTGATCGAGTCGCGGTTTTTCAATGAACTGTACTGCCGTCGCTAATAGCAATACAAAAGGAATACAAGGCGACCCGGACTCGTGCACGGCGACCTACTTTTGAGATTGTGACGTCGAACGGTCCATTCACCTTGCAGCTCGTTCAGAAACCAAAGCACGTGCCATCATCGGCTACCTACAAATACACAAGGGAGCGATTTTTACAGAAAATAGCTAATCTCGTTATACACCGTAAAATATTTAATCTTGAGTATGTGAGGATATTGTAATACTTATGCTATTCCATATTGTTTCCTTTGCTCAGCACTTGAGAAAAAGAAAGATAAAAATAAAACGCAAACAATTACGCACTTTGTTATACTCTATTACATTATTCTACTCATATTGCTCCGTTTAAATGTCAATCCGTAGGTCGTTAAAGCTTTGATCATTTTTCTTAGATCATTGAAAAAATGCGCCCAAGTGATGAATTAAATCTTTGCCTCTTGAATGACTTTTGTCTAGAAAAGATATTGCAAGGAGCGATATTTTAAGCGCTGATGGTAAGCAATATATTTTCTCGAAATCTAATTTAAAACAGGAGTGATGACGTTGGTGGAGCAGTTGTATTAGATAATAATTCCCTCAGATATATATTGATTGTAAACTTTATCGTGTGACACCTGATTCCGTAGCGAACTTTAAACATTGTATATAACATATTAACGATTGACATTAATACATTCAGAACTTCGGAATAATATGTGTCTGTGTGTGTATCTTTTATATGTATTCTCACAATCGTAAATTCTAGTATCTTTTCCAGAGTTAGAAATCTCTTTTCACGAAAAGGTTAGGATAGAGGGATAGCTTGTCCCATTGACCCACTTTATCCCCGGGGGTTGAATGAACGGCGTTGAACGCCAGATGACGTCATTCTCGACCTCATTTCCGGTCTCCCCAGTGCAACCAGTTATCCAGTTTCGTGTCCCGTTGACCCGAAATTTCTCATGAATTGAAGGACACATTCGTTCATAACGAGTCGATTTGCTATGCATGAATGAATTCTCTGCTTCTGTATCACTATTACGTCAAGGTAAGAAAAAATAAGCTCATGTTTAAGGACGTGATTCAATGTATTTTCTTGTGTATATAATAATGTCTTTTATATTGAAAGTTCACGAAACTTCTTTTTTGCTTTGTAAAACAAAAAGAATATTTGTTAACCAAACAAGACGTACATCTGAAACATTTGAAGTCCTTCGACACTTTTAGATGTTTGGCTCTCTATGTAATGGGAATAACGTGCTTTATCGAAAGTTAATAAATTATATATATATTTCCGATTAGATATATTTCTCAATTTCGTTGAAATTGAGATCATTGATCAAAATCTGAATTTCTTAAGACTTCTCACGTGACTTCTATAGATTTTTCACCATCTTTCTTTTTTTTCTGAAAAACAAGAAATCAGATACAATATGTAAGGAAGAAATGGTGATATTATGGAATATTTTTTACTACATAAATTTCCAATATTATTGTGATCATCTCCACATCTCTATAATATTTCTGTGATATTGTACTGCAATTAGCAAGATTGCAACATTGCTACACGTAGATAAAATGTCCTCCATTGTACAAGATAAATAGAGTTTTCAATGTTATGTGATTATGACAATAATGTACGATAAAAGATACTTTTTGTTTAAAAATTGTTATATATTTAAGATACTTTTAACAGTATAACAACAAAGAAAAAATACATATGTATATTAAAACATATATGATGTTCCAACTTAAATATCTTTTTTGCTGTTGATGATATACATATAAAGGAAAGATTGTAAGATTCAAATGGGAAATATAATAATGAAAAAAATATTCTTCAAATTATTTTCAAGAATATTCTGAAGTCAACAATATTTTTTTAATGAAACTATAGTTATTACTACATCATTTTGATTAAAATTAAGATACAAACACAATAATATATAATAACATGATTTTCAGATGATCTTAAATATAAAAATCAGCAAATGTATGATTTTTTGGATTTTAACTAATATTTATACACATATTTCTTCTTGTTTCAACTTTCAATATTTGTAAGCATATTTTTAAATCTATTTGATTAAATAAATACTGATAATCTTCTGTCTTCATTTACATTAATCAATTCAATTTAGAAATTCGTTAAAAATTTATTTGGCAATATCGAAAGATTATGTAATCTATGTGGAATATTGATAATATATGTATATAATTAGAAGACAGAGATATTAGGTATGATTCTAATTTAGGATAAAATAGGAAAAAGAAGTCTGTTCCAGTTATAAGAAAAATATCTTGAGAAAAGAATCATTCTTCCCTTCTTACATTTTTCGATCGAATTACTTTATGAAATAAAAAACGTCCTAAAATTATAATGACATAAATAGCTGTTTTGACAATAACAAATAAATTTGTTACTTCTTATCGAAGCAGTATAAAGAAAAGAAAACTTCTTATTTTACAACATACTTTACAACATCATTGATCCATTAATAAAGGAACAAAACTTCAAATATACAGATACAAATCTTATCTTACGAAAAGTTTTAATGATTAAAAGCGCAATATTAAATGATTGATTATAATTGTTAAAGCGCAATAAAATAACTTAAATGATTGATTATAATTAATAATTATTAAAGCGCAACATCTCTTCACAATTGTAAGTTACATGATACTAGCACCAGTACTTTCCAATGACTAAAGGGAATCTAATGGTTATAATTGCTATAATTACTGATGTAGTAATTTTAGAAATAATGTTCATTCTCTATAATATTCTATATTATCATCCTGTTTCATATTCCAATTTTTTCCCTTATTAAACTGTGTGTGCAAATATTAATCAAGAAAGAAAGAGAAGAGCCTGAGAATCTTCCGTTAATTGTTTACAAAGATATATTTATATATTAATATAGATATTATTTTAAATATTTAAATTTTTAAAATACATTTTCTGTGCACTAATATTATAGTCATAGTTGTTTAATTATTTCTATGTTACTTTTATTCATTTACTAAATTTTATACTCGAGATCACCTAAAGAAAGATTATGTTATTAAGACATTATATTTATTTTGATCTCAACTGTAACATGATTATAATAAAAATATATGATTTCACGTATGAAAAGTATTAGTGACCTTGAAATGTCCTTAAAAATGATCTTAGCAATTTTTTTATTATTATATTTTCCATTTTGAGCTTTCTTTCTCTTACAATTAGACATATTATCATTAGAAATAAAGATATTTGAAGTATCATATAAGTATCAAATCAACTGGGATACCCTGTATATATATCTAATGCATATATGCATAGAAAAATCGATCACGTGTCTGAAATAAAAACCGTACAGTATTTTTGTTAAAATTAGATATCTAATTTATTATATATCTGTCTATTGATAAGCCTTTATGGATCAAACAGCCATGTGCTTTATATATATATACATATATACAGGGTGTCCCATTTTAATTGTGCACTCCGATTAACATCGCAGAAAGTGATCGGAAAAAATGTTTTAGACAAAAGTTGTTGGGTTTTGAGGAGGCCACATGATAAAAATATGAACTTGATCTTGAGTGACCTTTTCAAGGTGAGGTCAATGTGATCGATGTTTTCATTTATTTATTAAATTATTATAAAATGCTGTTTGAATGTAAGAATACATAAATTATAATTGTAAGACACTTATTAGTTTATTATTAATCTCATTATTAATCAATAATCTATTTTTGTTAAAATCTTCCTTATTTTGGTAAAATCTCATGCCGCTTAAATAATTGTATTCACTTATAATAGAATCAAATTCTTACCATTCTTTTTCATACCTAAAATTATTTTTAAATTTAATTTTGATATTTATCACGTTTTTATTTCTGCTTTAATTGTACATTTTATTATTAATACACAACTTATTGTTAGTACATATATCGTAATACACAAAGTTATATTTTGTTCTTGAACATTCTTATTTACGTTTTCTGCTTACACAAGTCATGATCTTTGCATGACGTCAAACTGATAATCCGTATCTCTAGCAAAATGTTCCAACTATGTACATACTTCTTGCTCAATCAATCAAGATGTGATAACGTATATGTGATAAACATACGTTTATGGTAAACTTATATATATCGGATTGTAGCGACCAAATCTTAGTTAGTATTCTCGATACGGTTTGAGCAGGGATACGCGATGGAATATTTGAGCTTTGATCTGTCGTCTAAGTCGCTTACTTTAAAAAAGCGAGATATTCTTCCTAAACCGGCAGCAAATGAAGTACGAATTAAAATCGCGTATTCCGGAATCTGTGGGACGGATCTTCATATTTTGGAAGTATAAAATCATTACAAATATATATCATTTTTTCATCATCAAAATTGTAAAATATAAAAAATTTGTAATGTGATTTTAAAGATATTGTATATCTGCGCAATTGTACCGTGCGCCATTGAAGGCCTCTCCATATATATATTATTCATTTCTTTTTCATGACATATTTCCTTAAATAATGAATTTAGATCAAAAGTATCTTAGTATTTTTTTACGTAAAATTAAAGGCTCTTTCCGATTTTGCAAGTAAATATACCCCATTCTATTTAAAAAAATCAAGTTGATCTCTAAATGATCTTGAAAAACATCACCCAAGGATAATTCTAGGTCACGATATTATGTCCGCCTCAAAACCTTACAACTTTTGCCTGATACATTTTTTTCTAAAACTCCGTCATTTGGAGATATTTGACTGTCACTTTTAAAATGGGACACACTGTATATAAAATTATATATATTTCGCGCATTATTGTATTTTGTAAGATATGGCAAGATTTTTTATTATTTAAAAATTAGTATTTGAAAATTATGTAAAAACATTTAAAAATTTTCACGAATCAATTAATAACTATTTGTTTTGCTAATACATTCAATAATGCATTTTGTCTCCAGTAACGTAATTTACAATAAAAAATACCGTTAAAAAATTTTATTATTATTAATTGCTTCTTGTATCACGATACATGTCTGGCACGAGCGCGGATACACATATGGAACTTCGCGATATTAATGTAATACTTTCTTTCAGGGTTCCTTTCCGTGTAAAGAGAATGGGCCTTTAACTCTTGGACACGAGTTCGTAGGTACGATCGATGAACTTGGATCGGAAGTGACCATATTTAAGGTCGGTCAACGAGTCGCCGTGGATCCTAACAGCGGATGCAATAAATGCGATCACTGCCACAATGCAAATTATCATTTTTGTGAATTCGGCGGTATAAATAATACGATAGGAATTTTTAGGGATGGAGGATGGGCCACACACGCGCTTGTCCCAGAAACGCAGGTACGGTAATATATACAAGGCGTCCCAAAAAACCAGACATTTTATAATGATAGATTGTTTGTCCAATTTCTGAAATCGATTTTCACTTAATAAAAATGTCAAGGAAAAAGCGCAGGGTGTCTACTAACTGAAAAAAAACCATGGAAAACCAGAAATTCTTAGGGATTTCTTTTGTATCTGGAAAAATCAGGGAATTCTCATTTTTATTGTGATTCAGGAAATTTTTAAATAAATTAAATAAAAAAGATGCTCTTCTTCATAATTTTGTTCTCATATTGTAAATAGTCGGCAAGCCAAGTGAATTATGCATTTAAGATATATTATAAATATATACTTATCTCTCTCTGTTTATATATTCAATCTCTTAACAAAACAGTACATATTCTTTATTGTCATTTTTAGTGATAAAGAAAATATTTTCTTTACCTGGAATTTTGAACAAAAACATTTGCAAGGGAATTCTCAAAAAATTTTTTTACAATATTTGAATGGACACCCTAAATGAGTGTATAATAAAAAAGGATGAAGGGATAAAGAATGTGGGGATTTAGAGAATAAAGAATACAGGCTTGACTAAATACTGACTTCCCTTGCTACAATATGTTTTTTTGTGCTAAGAAAAAATCGATTCCGAATTGGTAGAAAAATTTTTCATTATTAAAAAGGATTATGCCCAGTTTCTTATTGAAATTGGACCCTCAGTGAATAGCATTGAAACATGGCTAGGATTGCAGGGCATCAAAAGAGGATTAAAAAGTTCCATAGGCACAATCTTGTAAAATGAGTCCCCTCTAAGTGCTAGAGCTGTCCAAAAGTTCACTATTATGACTACCCAGTCAGCCACATCTGTTCTAACAGATATTGCCAAGTGCTTGCTACAAATTATCGTACCTATATACAATAAATGGTCCATACGTTCGCCAGACTTCAATTAAAATCTTTTGTTTCGTACTTCGTGAATACTCCCCTATCAATTAATATATGATTCACGACTGTTCATTCGGGGCCCAAACTGGGCATAGTCCTTTATCATGAAAACAATCAACTTCTTTTGAGACATCTTGTATATATATTAGGTGTACAACTTTGCTTCCGCCGTTTTCCTATAGATGGCTTTAGCGGTAAGTAGTGGTCGAAATAAATAGATCATAGACGTCATACAATAAATTTGGGCATCTGTCAACATAACCCCATAGAAACATTAGTCGATTTGTGTCTGCATCATAAAGCTATTCTCGATTGAAAATGTCAGTTTACGAGCCAAATTCTCGTCATTTGAGGGAGGTTTTAATTTTCTGCTTCAATATGAAGAAACCTGCGGCTGAGGCTCATCGAATGCTCTCAACTACTTACGGTGAGGCCGCTATTAGTGAAAGATCGTGTCGTGAGTGGTTTCAACGCTTCAAGAACGGTGATTTTCACGTCGAAGACCGGCATAGCGGTGGAAGAGAGAAGGTTTTCGAAGATGCAGAATTGGAGGCATTACTTAATAAAGACTCGAGTCAAAGTCAAGAAGAATTGGCACGATCATTGGGAGTGACTCAACAAGCAATTTCAAAACGCCTCAAAGACATGGGAATGATTCAGAAGCAAGGAAATTGGGTGCCGTACGAGTTGAAACCGAGAGATGTTGAACGGCGTTTGTTTGCTTGTGAACAGTTGCTTGAAAGGCAAAGACGGAAGGGATTTCTGCATCGCATTGTGACTGGGGACGAAAAATGGGTTCATTACGATAACCCCAAGCGCAGAAAAACATGGGGATATCCCGGCCATGCTTCAACGTCGACGGCCAAACCGAATATTCACGGCTCCAAGGTCATGCTCTGTATTTGGTGGGACCAGCTCGGCGTAGTGTATTATGAGCTGTTAAAACCGACTGAAACAATCACAGGCGATCGTTATCGAACGCAATTAATGCGTTTGAGCCGAGCATTAAAAGACAAACGGCCGCAATACAACGAGAGACACGATAAAGTGATTTTGCAGCATGACAATGCTCGACCCCATGTTGCGAAAGTGGTCAAAACACACTTGGAAACGTTGAAATGGGAAGTCCTACCCCACCCGCCGTATTCTCCAGACGTTGCTCCCTCTGATTATCACTTGTTTCGATCAATGGCACACGGCCTGGTTGACCAGCACTTTCGGTCTTATGAAGAAGTAAGAAATTGGATCAATTCGTGGATCGCTTCAGAAGATGACCAGTTTTTTCAACGCGGGATTCGTACGCTGCCCGAAAGATGGGAGAAAGTAGTGGCCAGCGATGGACAATACTTTGAATCATAAATGTATAACCACTTTTTTACAATAAAGCCTCGAATTTCGGAGAAAAAACGGCGGAAGCAAAGTTGTACACCTAATACATATCGTCTTATCACACCGCGATATCTATATCTCTCATTCGCATCTATTGTATGTACATCTGTGATTTGTAGGTTTATTTGATCGCGGATGAAATTGAAATGTATCAAGCAGTGCTGAGTGAGCCCTTGTCGTGTCTTACTCACGGTTGGGACAAACTCAATCCCGTAAATGTAGGGAACAGAGTTCTCGTAATAGGCGCCGGTATTATAGGTTTACTATGGGCCTGTCTACTTCATTTACACGGTCTCAGAAAGACTGTCACTATTAGTGAACCGCAACAAAAACGGAGAGAACTCGCCACCCATCTTGGTATTAATATATTGTATTAATATATTATAATATATTGAATATATATATTATATTGGTATTAATATATTATAATATATTGAAAAATATATTAAAGCATTATATTTTAAACATTATTTTTTGTGTAACATGAATAATTTTTGAAAGAATTCTAATAGAGATATATTTATGCGTGAATATATAGGTCTAGATTACCAAGTTAAAAATCCAAACGAAATAAAAGAGGAATTTGATATAGCTGTGGACTGCAGCGGCTCTGCTCCAGCGATGGAAGCGGCCATTTCTTTATTAGATCACGGTGGTCGCCTATGCGTATTCGGTGTCGCTAATCCGAAAGCGAAGCTGTCAATTGAACCATTTCAGGTAAACTTATCGCATAGCCACAAGAACCATATATACTTGTTAAAAATTAATTATTCTGTATTTAATTAATATTTAATTATCATGGTTGGGTAAGTTAATTTTTTTTTTTAACTAAATTAAGTTTAAAGTTAATAACCCAACAATTAACTAAATTTACGTTAAAAGTTACTTAAACAAAAATTAACTCAGTTAAAGTTAAGTTAGAAAATTATTAACTCATTAAAATTAAAAATTAATTCTCTACACAGAGAAAAGTTTTTTGGGATTTAATAAATTTTGTTGAAACCAAAAAAATATAATGTTTCGAATGATCTAACCATATTAATGTTTGAAGTAACAAATATGATTGTTTGATTTTCAAATAACATAATTTATTTACTTTAAATAAAATATTTTTTAAATTAATTTCACTTTTTCTTCAACTTAAAAATTATATTATTCTTTCAAACAATATTATTGTTTTCTTTAAATAATATTCTTGTTTTATTTAAAAGATTCATTATGTTGCTTTGAACAATTTAAATAAAGCTTAGAACAAAATTAGATAAAGTAAAATTGCATATATTACTGCATCTTTTTAATCAAATCTTTGCAGCATCTTAAGGCCATAGTAGTAGAAAAACTCAATTTTACTTATTCGGAATTTCTGTCCGAATAAGTGAATATCGGACATTTATCTGTCCGATTTTCCAAAAATCAGTTCGTTATCTGAATTCTCCTTTATGGAGATCGTATCACAAATAAAACTGATAGAAATAGTTGTTAAATGTTATTAGCCGCATTTTGCAGGCTTTATTCATATACGCTTATGACAGAAACTTGAATACGAGTATAGTGAAATATGGCGCGTCGCATAATGGTGTGCGAATAAACTATACTATTCCAAATAATATTTTTCCGTCAAACAATATGGTTTAATGCAACGAAACTATTAAATTTTTATTCAACAAAATAATGTTTTGTATAAAATTATGTTTTTGTAACGAAAATATAAGTCAAACAAATAGATATATTAAATCTAAAGAAATCTTTTTCTTTGTGTATCCAACAGCAAATCGACACATCCGACAAACTTTTGTTGTACGACAAATGAAATATTACAATCAATTATTTTCACATGATTTTAATATTGATGAACGTTAATGCATTTAAAAATAACTAGTTTAAAAGTTAACATGTTTAAAATTAACTAAGTTAAATTAAAAGTTATTAACTGTTCAACTGTTTAACTTAACTATTAATTGTTTAAGTTACTACCCAATCCTATCTATTATTATTCTGTATTTTATTATTTAATTATTCTGTATGTATCTCGGCAGGTTTATAAGAAAGAGCTGACCATCGTAGGCGTGATGGTAAATCCCTATTCTTTTCTTAAAGGATTAGCTTTGTTGCAGCCAATGTCTGAGAAATATCTCGATTATAATAAGTTAGGAATTAAAGTATTCTCTTTGTCCCAATATAAAGAAGCTCTGGACGCGTTGAAGAAGGGAGACATAAGCAAGGCTGTTTTCAAATTGTAAAATGGGTTTTTTATATGTTGGAATAGAAAAAAATAAGATATATTATTTTTATAAAGTTTCATTATTATAATATTAAAGCCATAATATATTTGACAGTATACATATAAATTGTATTACAACGTATATAAATAATACTACAGTTATTACAGATATTATGAGTATCATGGCGTCGAGATTCAAATACAAATTACAATATTAACAAGTATAAAATCGTATAAATTTGTAAAGAGTATATAAAAACTTGACGCACGCGGGGATCCTCTTATTTTATTGAGATTCTATATTCCTATTTTTACTTATTGGGGGTTATATATCATGATATGCCTTGTTAAAAAAAAAAAATTTAGTTATAAGTGTGCAGAGTAAATAGTTTAGCAAGAAATATGTGCCTGATAAAACACATTAAATGTTATCTTATTTATGTACGTACAAGTAACATACATAAATACAAATAATATATTGCCTAAAAACTATACACATTTATAATTTTACTTGTAATACGAATTACACTTTATCACGAACAAGGCACTAACATCAACATTGTTTTCTTTGTTCATGACGTTTCAAACCTTTTTATATTAACAGCTGGATATTTCTACCATCAGGTTTCTTCTATATAATATTAACAAATCCATATTGTCGATTTGTAACTACCAATGACTATTTATAAGGTAATAAGATAATATTATGTTTTTTATAACGTCATTATTCTTTGCTTCTTTTCATCTTTTATCAGTTGGCAGTGAGACCAAAAGATGTTTGTCATGCTATCTGCACGCGACGTTACATAATATCGTGTATCATCATAAATGTGTACTGGAATGCTATAATTTATATATTGCCAACGTTTTTGTATATTATTGATCTCTATTCAGAAGTTGAGTATGAAAGTTATTTTGTAATAATTAAAATGTTAACAAGTAGCAAATCAGCATGATAGATAAAAATCATGTTACATTTATTATCATACATTTTCTTCTATTCTACTAATCTATTCTCATTTCTGTTTAATATCAGTTTCAATAAAGTTAAAACTCTTCGATGTACGATTTGTAAAAATTGAGCAGCATAATTACGCACAATATAAGGAGACAAGATCAATCGTAGAGATTTAAAGAAAATGTATATAATATAGAGATTGATATGAAAATTTCAATAAAAATTATATAACATATCTATATATATACATAAAAATTGATTCTAAAAATGAAAGTATCGTAAAAAAACTGTAGTGTGTTTAAAATATGAAAATAATGATATTAAAATTGTATTAACAATTGCATTGTGGCGATACAAACGCCACAAATGTTACAACACGCATGTTTTTTATCAATAATATAAATCACTCCGTTCGTAAATAACTATAAAAATCGTGTGATGAAATAGACAAGATTAATTAGTAAAACATTAATTGAGGCCTTTATAGCTTAAGTTTTGGTCTTATAGCATTATTGCGACAACAATAAAGCTAATGATATAGAGCCATTTTAAGAGGTCGCACCTGTTTGCTGCTGCCCATTGAAGGCCTGGGTAGTTAATATTTGGCATGGAAATCTCTGTAAATAATACACATATATACATACACACACACACACATATATATATATATATATATATATATATACTACAAAAAAATAGGGAACACTTTTTATAACCTAAAAATTGGGCTATTTTCAAATCGTTGAAACTTCGAAACTGACAAAAAGAATCATCGTAGACAAAAAATTAAAAAAGCATTTTGAAGCTTAAAGTTTCAACTTTAACATCCTATCGGTGGTCCAAAAAAATTTTTTTTTCCTTGTTCTATGCTTTAAAAAAGAATCCATTGTTTTGTTCTTTAAAATTATGTATTTTTGACACTCTGAAGCTCAATGAAAACATTTCTCTCGAAAAATTCAACTCAAGTTCCATAAACTACAACAATTTGCCTACAAAATGCTTTTTTTAAAATTTCCCTACGATTTTCTTTGACCGAGTTACATGTTTTTGAAACATGTATATATGTATATATAGAAACTAATTGAGAATCTATAATCAAATAATGTAATCATTTTAAACTTTCATTATTGCAAGAATATATAAAAAATATATAAAAAATGACTTACCTCATTATTGTAATTAATAAAACTAGAACTATCAAAGGTCTGGAAGCAACTGGAATTACACCAGTTCCATAATGAGCTTGACCACAAGCTGGTGGGCAAACAGGGATAATGGTTTCTGCGCAAACAAACAAGGGAACAAATCTAACATGCCGTCTACAAAAAATAAATCTATTGCAAATAGCTAAAAAAAAAAATTAATGAATAAAAATTAAAAGACAATAAATTTTAAAAATAAAAGATATAAAATGCACATTCATATGCACATATTGAACTTTATAATTTAAGCAACATGATGGATGTTTTATTTTTACCATGCACAAGTCAACATATTCACAAATCTGAATCCAATATACAAATAATCTCGTTTTAACTATATATATAAATTATGTACAGATTAGGTTATACAATATGTATAACCTAACCTGTATATAGGTTATACAATATATAAAAATATAGAGGATTGTATTCTCTTTTTAGATTTTCTTACCAAAAAGCTCAACTTTTGTTTCAGCACTGCCCAATTTATTGGCTGCCCGACATACGTATTCTCCATATTGCCGTTTTTCTATGGTAATAACTCGAATTGTTGTATCGGTATATTCGTCTGCGGTTGCGAAATGTGATATACTGTAATGCTGATTATTCGACAATTGTATATCATCTTTGACCCAAGTAATAGCTGGTGGAGGATACGCCTCTACGTGACATTCCAAATCCATATCATACTGCAAAGCTTGTCCGAGTCGTGGCCTCGGAGCTGTTATTACCGGCGCAAATTCAACCTCCACATTGATATTACGTCTAGCACCACGTCCAACGCCATTTTCAGCAACACAGTAATATGTTCCACGATCCTCTTTTCGTATGGCAGATATTTTTAATGTATTACCACTGTAATATTTCTAAAGTTTATACACAGCTTATCAAATAATTAATAAAATATAATTTGCACTAATTATGCCATACCGATAAATTGATCCTCCGGTAGGTAAAATGGCATTGTTCTCTCTATGCCAAGATATTCTTGGTGGTGGAAAGCCACTGGCATAGCATTCTAGCATAACAGGTTGTCCCTCGCTAACTACTAAAGATTGAGTCGAGTTGTCGCTAATTATTGGTGGTCTACGAACTTGCAATTCTACTTCTGCATTTATAAGATTGTTCACGGATATTTGTATTCTACATTGATAGAATCCAGCATCTGTTTCTTGTATATCTTTAATCTGAAATATCAAATATATCAATTATGTGCCATTAATGTTTGAAATATATGAATATATCTTGAATCGGAAGCATTTCGATTAAGTCTTACTTGTAAGACATAAGTGGCGGATGCTGTATCGTGTCTAATAGCAAATCTACTGTCCCTAATTATCAATGCAGTGCCGGTAGAAAGTGCTACTTGCTCGTGTACACTGTCCCTGTTGACTTTTATCCACAAAACAGGATAATCCTGCGCATATTGAATGGAACAGTGTAACTCTACAGTCTCTCCAATATCCTTAATTTGTTCCTGCGATATGTAAGATATTGTCGGAGTACGTTGAGCTACAACTGAAACAACAAATTAAAATTTATATATCTGAGTTGAAAATATAAGCTGTATTATCGCGAATTATATTATTCGTCAAATGGCAAAAGTAAATTTTTCCATTTCGAGTTAATATGATGCTAGGAATGAAAGACATAATATACAAGGTGCTTCACAAAATACTATCCCAAAATTATCCCAGATTATGATCTACTAGTGCTATATATTCTTAAATTTTCTAATTTTAATGTACTACAATTATCATTTTATTTGCAAGTATTTTTTTTGGCCATACCTTTCAGAAGCTGTATTTTAGAAACGGAGCATTTCTTTTCGGACATGTTTATATAAATATTTCTTTTTATTTTGATCTGGGAAATCTCCCTTTAAATTTTTCTAACATCTTTTTGAAACACCTTGTATATCTCTCAACACAAAGTTACGTACATGAAGTGTACGTGCTTGATTTACATTAATGTATGTGTTTACCTGTCTGCAGGAATGNNATCAAAACTAAAATGACAGCACGCATCGTGACACACCCAATACGGTACTCAATTCGGCCCAAAGAACGTCCTCAGCTTCTCTCCACGATGCAATTGTCGCTGTTCTTATTTGTGAACATAGGATTCCTCCTTCCAATTTAATGAAGCATGGATTAAGCCTTATTCACTCGAGACGATACAACGCGTGCAGTTCTATTCAACGATACAAATCAACTATTCAAAACGATGTAATCGGCAAAAAGGAACAGTAACGCGTCCGAATCTGTCCGAAGCGTCCTAAAAACATCCACGGGTGGGACAGGTGTCTGTTGACTGATCATGAGCGTTGTAAATATGGCGTACGATGCCTACATCCCTAGTCAAATACGAGATAAAAATCTCGTTCTTGTTGTTGATCTTATTTTGCTACAATTATCATTCTAATTAAATCGATTACAAATTGTAATCTGCAATTGTAAAATTAAAATTGATTAGTGTAGCATTCTATGAGTAATATCGATAAATTATTAACGTGATTCGATTGCTTTTGCGATTGATTTGAATATTCGAATGCTCGAATTCGAAAGCTAATTAATAAGATTAATAAATATTGTGAATGAAAATTTCTCAACGTTCAATTTATTCTTTTAAGAAAGAAAGAGAGAGCTTCTTAATACCTTATATATAATTAATATACTTAAAAAAAATGTCTTCTAAAAAATAAAAAATCCCTAAAAAATAAAAAATAAAAACTAAATATGAAATCAATAGTTAAGGGTCGGCAGGAGAGACGGTGGAGACCTCTCGCGGGAAGCCGACTTAAGACGTAAGCGAATTGACCAATCACGATCGAACAATAAAGCAGCTATATTGAAACGTAAACAACGCTGAAAATTCCGTATGGATAAAATTCTTAAGTCTTAAGTCTTAGGGCCCGGGCACATTAAAAAACTTAAGCAGTAAGACTTAAGACTTAAGAATTTCAACCAAAGTCTTACTGCTTAAGTTTTTTTATGTGCCACGGCCCTTACTGCTTAAGTTTTTTTTATGTGCCACGGCTCTTACTATTTAAGTTTTTCTATGTGCCGCAGCCCAGCTCCATAAAGTTAGCCGGTCAACATTCACTTTTATAATTTTATAAAATAAACTATTATTTCTCAAACGTTGAAAATATTACAGACGTGTTTCCCAATAATTTCATGTTGATTAAAATAAAAAAAGAATTTTTTAAAAATTGTGTCTGCTAATTATACGCTCAATTAATTTTCATTTATTATAAATAAATTATTATTTCCTAAACTATGAAAATATATTCCTAAATTTGCCCAAACGGTTCCCAAACGATTGCAATAATAAAAAATAAGAAATATCAAATTTGTCTGTTAAGTATACGGAGGTGCAAAATACACGTGTCTTTAAGCGTATGTACCTGATCCGCCATATTGATTCTTTCTGAACGCAGCAATGAGTAAAGAATCACAGGAGAGAGCATTTTTGGTGCTAGCAAGCGGACGGAAGTGCCTATATATAAGTGGACGCTCAAGATGGCCGCTCAGGGACGAATTGCAGCATGACAGAGATACTGGAAGTACCTCAAAGGCCTGGCAATGCACCATGATCTTACAATTAACACTTATTAATAATATTTGTTTAGCCTAATATTGGCTCTTCCTTTCACTTATTTAGAATGGTGATCGTGCGCAAAATAAGTGCAGACTGAAATAAGTAAGGCAACAAGTGGCTGTACACGGCCCTGAAAAACGTCGAAAAAAATGGACGCTCAAGATGGCTGCGATGACGTACTACCGTTCGCAATAAATCTACCCCCACCACCGATACACTCTCTCCTGTGATTCTTTACTCATTGGAACGCAGTTCATATTTTTCGAAGGCAGACTTATAGATGACATTACTAACGCTGGTACACATTTTAACAAAGGAGTTTGACCACCCTAGAGACACTATAATCAGAGACGGGCCACGAAAAGGCCAGTTTTGATTGGTCCGCCATTTTTTGTCTATTCCCGCTGATTTTTAAATCTATTAATTACGTTAATCTTAAAATATAACACAATTTTAAAAAAGTAGACGTTTTAAAGTTAATAAAAAGTATTTTTTATCATACAATTCTAATCTTTTATAATATTTATTTATATTAAAATGCAAAATTGGATAATTATGAAAATTAATATATGTATATTCACAAAATTTTATTTTATATAATCATACATAAAGTAAGTAAATAAAATCAAGGAAAAATAAACCAAAATATTAAAATCACAATGAAAATGTTATCAAAATGATATCGAAATAACATCAAACAACGTCAAAATGACGTAATTTTAACGTCATTTTGATATCATTATGATCTGTTCTACTTATAAATATATACAGGGTGCGGCATTTATAGTGACGCGGGCATATTTTTCGAAAACAAAGTGAGATATCAAAAATTAGATTAGAAACAAAATTTTGCGTTGTCGCGTACTTGTCTACAATCCTCTAATTTTACTTCAGGAGGATTTTAACCCACTCTCTTTTCTTAATTCCATGTTCTACAATTTTTATTTTATAATGCGCGAGAGTTATTTAGGCGGGAAGGAGACTATCTGCAAAGTGGTACAAATTATAGGATTCCAAAATTCATAAAAAATGACTTTGAAGAAGCTACAAATTTATGTTGATGATAAATTGTGGATGTTTGACGTGTCCGATACTGAATAAAACTCCAAATCTAAATATATGTACACGTAGGCGGACACAACGGCGCGGCCCCTACAAAGCCTGCAAAGAATTCGGTTAATGCGTTCATTGATAAATGATCATGTATCACTTTCTATCTACGAGACCGACCGATTTCGAGATTTCGTTTAAAATTCCATTGCTTTCCATAAATATTAAAAATTGTATTAAAAGACATTTATACCCAAACAGCACGAAAAGGCCAAAAGACATCTTGAAAATATTTAAAGAACGATAAGACATTTTTAAATCGTTTTTTAGACGTCTTTTAGGAATATGTGAGGTCTGAAAATATTTCAAAGTAGAAAATTCTCTATAAATATTATATACAATGCTTGTAGAATGCTTGCAGAAATATCATACATTTCATCTGCCATGTCTGTTTACAAACAGTCCAAGCGCGCATGGGTCTGTTCCGTTTCTCTATGCGCAGTATGACGTCATATGACATCAATGACGTCATTGCATCGTTTCTGCCAATAAAAGGCTTGAATTCATAGTAAAATATAGTGATTAATTGAACCGGGTTGGGTTAACCCGTTCATTCGAAAACGCTATAAGGGAGTTAGCGGCTTAGTAATATATAGAAATCTGTATTATTTTCTCGGTCGTCGGGAGCAATGCTCGATCGCACATACGCGAGGGAGAAAAGTATCTTATTATCTTGGCTGACAGTAAGCAAATTGATCAATCACGGTCGAACAGTAAGGCAGCCATATTGAAACGTAAGCTACGCTGCAAATTCCGTATGGTTGAAATTCTTAAGTCTTAAGTTTACTGCTTAAGTTTTTTTATGTGCCCGGGCCCTTATGGCCAATGAGGAAAGAATCACAGGAGAGAGCATATCTGTGGTGGGGGTAGATTTATCGCGAACGGAAGTACGTCACGCAGCCATCTTGAGTATCCACTTTTTTGACGTATCAGAGCGCGTGTAACAGCCATTTTAGCTGCAGATACGCAAAGTCGTGTCAATTGTGTGTCAAAAGTGTTAACTGTGTGCATAATTAGTCTAATTGTGATATATAGAGCATCATGGTGCATTGTCATGCGTGTGGCATAACCACAAAAGCTAGAAATTATGGGATAACGTTTCATCGGTTAGTAATTACTATCAGTAATATAACGAGAATTGTATATTTTGAAGAATCCACTCGTAATTATTAAATTACTAATTTCACAAACAGGTTTCCGAAAAACGAAGATCAGAGATGTGCCTGGATCAATTTTGTTAAGGAGAAAAAAGGGTTACAGGAAAACGTCAAATGTACTGCGCTTTGTTCGCAACACTTCGAGACATTATGTTTCGATAGAACATCACCTGAAAAAGTTCGATTGAAACAGTTTTCTGTACCAACAATATATATTTCAAGATCAAAATATGTAAGTAATAAGCTGATAGAATACACTAAGAAAAGTACATGTTACCCTGTACTAGAAAACATGAAGTGTATTCCAATCCAAACCTTTACTTAAATAACATATTTACATACTTTAAATAATAAATTATTTTCTGATTGCCGCAGTAAATTTTGAGGTATTTTCAACGCTCCATTATGCTGTAATGCCGAAAAATCATTAAGGCCGGTATTCATAGTCAGTTCTTATTTCAAGACCGTCTTAAATAATGTCTTAAGATTCTAATACGGCTCTGTGATTGGTTAAGGACATCTTAAGATTGTGCTTAAGACGGTCTTAAATATAAGAACTGACTATGAATACCGGCCTAAATATTGGCGCCCGTGAGCGGCCATCTTGAGCGTCCACTTTTCTGCTGATGTATATAGTCACTTCCGTCCGCTCGCTTAATACCAAATGCTCTCTTCTGTGATTCTTTCCTCATTGGTTATGGCCCTCGCACACTGGACACGATGAGCGATGCGCGATGAGCGATGCGCGACGAGATTGTGAAAATTTATTTTCCTTCGTTCACAATGAACGCGATGTGAGGCGATCGAACGCGACGAGCGACGCAAGGGTCGGAAAATCGAATTACATTGATATTGTGTTTATTAGTAAAGAGTATGTGTATTTATTAATAAATAGAGAACTGTGTTACATTGATAGAGAATAGAGAATATACACAAAATATAATGATACACCGGTAAGTACTTTAAATTTATAAAATGAAGTAATTAACTTAAAACAATAACATAATTTATAAATATCACATTTGTAATTGTATGAATATAGCACGCTATGGAATCAGCTATTGGCAGATATTTTAACAGACGAATAAGACGTTTTTTATAATAGAATTATCTATCATTTATTTGTAAATACAAATATACATTTAATGAAATCGATACGTTTGTAAACCAATATTAAATTATTTTATTTTTTATATTAAACAACATATTTTTTGTATTAAACAACATTTTTCATATTAAAACAACATTTTAAAAAAGTTAATGAAATCAACTTTTAAAAAACTCCACAAAACTCATCTCTCTTTTTCTACTCTACTGGGTAATAAAGAAACAAATTATATCTCGAATTATTTTTATTTTACAGTTTTCAATTATTATATTTGTTGTTTATAAATATACATATAATTGTCAGTCATATAATATATAATAATAATATTAAATACAAAAAAGAGTATCTATAATAATAAAAAGTTATATATATAA